TCTAACAAATTAAATAAAGGCTACGACCCTAGCAAATTTAATTGCACCGTGAAATTGCACAGTCGAGTAGAGGATTTACTTACTGAGCATTGTTTTGTGCTCACCCCATTGTTTTCTTTGTGGTTGGAGGATCTAGGTGAGAATGCGGTCGGATGGGCATCAGCACGAGAGGAGAAATGGTTACACTGTCCATCATGTTTTTGATAACTCTTGTACATAACCCAAACTTTGTAAAAAGAATTTATATGTTTAATAAAAGAAAAATTTGGGCCCAACTCTTTTATTATCTTATATGTAATTTCATTATGTATATTTTATTAGTACTTGATTAGAAAGCAGATATTACAGGTTAGGAGAGTCTGTGTATGTGTTTAGGAAATTAGGGCTTATAGCATTATTTGGGATTTTGGGTATTTGGGTTTCGGAAGATTTTTTATTACATATGCGAACCTGTGTAGGCTCACGTGCTGGCTCAAGCTAGATAAGCTCTCGAGCCTGTGAGCCGAGTACCACTATATTTGGTACTTGGTTTGTCAACAAATTGAAGGGTTCAAAATTGGGCTCTTTGTCAGGCCGAATTCGATCTTTACTTGAGCCGAGCCCAAGCCGTACACAAATGGCTCTGCTCAAGTACACCCCTACTAGGGGCAGGGATTAAAACTCCCCCCGTCCTGGTTCCTATGTTTCATCTCATTCTTACAAGGTTTTGGCCTTGTTAGAGCCCATGGAATTGCCCAGATTGCCAACAAATGCATGTAACTCAACGCACTAAAACAATCAACAGTGGTCCAAGCTTCAAGAGTTCAAAAAGAATAACTATGTAGAAAACAGCAATGAGTTAGTGAATTATCAGGAACAAATAGTTCTAGAGCAGATAATAATAAGTGTAAATTATGGAGAATGTAAAGTTTCCAATTCTAATTGGCAGAAAATTATCCTAAAGGTAGTAACCTGATGACGTAGGACATAAAGGAAGGATGCTCCTTATCTTCTACATTTTAGGATAAAGTATTTGAGTGCTTGGTATCCTTTTCTTGATTTCTTCTCTTAACCTATTAATTTCTCTCTATATCCCTTACATGGAGTCCTATATTATCTATCTATGTTATTCTTCTCTTCCTCTATCAAGGAGCAAAAATATTATCTACTTGACACTATCACTACCAGAGTTTTGTCCAACATTTCACAACATCAAGAATCTACAGGAATATGGATAAATGGCACATCCACCAAAAAAAGGTTAAATGAACTGACAAAACATATGCCACAATGAAATCTATATAGATTTAAGAAAGATTTAGATATGAAAAACAAAAACTCATAGCTCAGTTAACAGCCTATTAACTAAGCTATAAGATAACACCGTTTGATAACCTTAGGGGTATCTTATCCGAGTTTATTTTCAAACCATGCTACTTCATAGATTTCAGCGACAATTTGAAATCCCATATTTCTATTGAAATCTCATTTTCATACCACAGTGCTTCATAGATTTCAATGGCAATAATTACAAATCTCCATGGATTATCGTTACAACAACTGCATATGTAACACTAGACCATATTTCTCTTGACTGTAATGTTGTCATGTCAACTGTTCCAAAAGGTAGATCCCACTAACCAACCCTGGCTCTACATCCATATTCTTTAAGACATTATAGTTAAAAACCTTCTCCAATGCTCTTCTTGCTTTGTCTTCATCAACTATCGTTAACAGAGCACATGCTCGTGCATAACAATATTAATGACATACCTGGTAAGTTCTAATCTTATTGGATTTGAACTAAAAATAATCGATATTAAGAAAAAGAAACATGTGAACCATTACAAATAAATCAAGATTTATCAGGCCTGGATATTTGAGAATATCAATGAATGAAGTTAATCAGTTGCAACATACCATTATCCTAGTAAACTGATCAGCTTGAATAGATGAGCTCGAGCGGCTACCATTATTGTCGTAGTTGAAGTAAGAACCATTCCACAATTTCTCATATACAACTTTTGCTTACTGAAATTTTCACCATAAATAATCCTCAAACCCTTAAGATCTACTTCATGTGCAAATGCTGACACAGTCTGGAATGCTGCCACTATATGCACTTACAACAAAGACAGATCACATATTGTATGTCTGATCAAGGAAGCCATCATTCTCAATCATCCCCATCACCATCCCTATCAAATTTGAATAGATGAACTAAACCTTCTTCTTACCCTAACCAAAGTAGAGCATTTGGGCACCCAAATGAACTTTTGTTGGATTCTGATCCGAAAAAAGTTTAATACTCACTAAAGCTTTTATCACGTAAACTTCAATTTTGCTTTTGGATCGGAAATTGAGGAAGCTAGTTCAAACATTCATGATAATTTTTGGCCTTCATTAGTAATTGCATGACTAAGGACATTGTACATTTAGTCAGCTTCATGTTTCTCTCTGCCATCCTATGAAGGATTTCAACAACCTTTGGTATCTCTTAATTTTTTAGGAAACCAAAGATAAGCGTAGTAAATGTGACCACATTTGGAGCACAACCTTTTTCTTCCATATATGAAAACAACTCAGTTGCCTTTTCTAGTTGTCCATTTTTACACAACCTATTGATCAAAATGTTATATGTTAATGTAATGCCCGCTTGAGGTACGTAACTCATATTTGCTCATTTTGCCCTTAAAGTTGTTTTGTGCCCTTAGTTAAGTGTGTGTCTGTTGAAATTGTTTGAATGCCCTAAAATCGGTGAAGTCTTGTTGAAATTTGTGAAAGGCATACTTTGCCGCGGCGAAGAAGACTCGTCGCCCTGGCGACGTAGGCCTTGGAATTTTTTGCCGAGGTGAAGAATTCCTCTTCGCCGCGGCGAAGACTCAGTTGAAAATTTTTATGAGTTTCTAGAGAATTTTTCCTTTGGGGCACAATGACCATTCTACCCCTAATTAGTAGGAAAAGTGGGGAGTGAAATGCAAGGAAATTACATGGAGAATAGTTTAAATGGGGGTGCATTTGCAAAGAATTAAAGGGCACAGTTGGAATTTCTAAGAAAGAGTAAGGGTAAAATGGGAAAGAGTGGAAAAATATGAGATATTAAGGGTTTAGCTTTAGAAACCCTTTCATTCTTTCTTTCCCACCGCCTCTTCTATTCTTCAATTCTCTCAAACTTTCATTCAATTTTCCAAGGATTTTTGGAGGGCTTTTGACTAGAAGTTGATACAAGTTGATCCTAAGCACTAAAAGGTAAGAATCCTTACTCTAGATGTGAATTTTTAGTAGTGTAAGAGTAGGATCCTTACTAAGTTTGTGTTTAAGGTATCAAGCCATTAAGAGTAGAGAGCTTAAGTGGATTCTACTTGAGTATAAGGTAAGTAAATCCACCTAAGTTGTGATTTGCATGATTTATAGAGATTTGTATATGATGCTTGAATTTTTATGTTTGAAATGAGTTGATGGATTTATGAATGAGTTCAATGTTGAGTTATGGAGAGATTTCCACCATGAGAAGGGTGGATTGTGTTGATAAAATTTGGTAGAAGTATGGATAGATTTAGAAGAATTTGAGAGGAATATTTGAAGTGTGTTTTCTTTGTAGGATGTGTGATGATTTAAAGGAGTTGAACTCCAATTTTGGATGGTTAAGAAAGAAGTAGAACTATAGTTAGAGTAGGGTTTTGTATGCACACATATTGTTTGATGAAATGCCTAAGAGAAGCATGAGCAGAAGTAGAGAACCTTACTTTATGCAACATAGTATATTTGCATTTCATGAGTGCATATAAGAAAGATTCTAGGCATGAGCCATTCATATGCATACATATGAGTAATGAAAAAGAAACACTCTAAGAATAAAGATAAAGAAAAGAACTAATTCTCTTAGAATAAAGAAAAAGAAAGAATTAGCACTAGAGAATAAAAGGAATAAAAAGTGCTAAAGAAGAGAAAAGAGAATAGGTTGTGCAATGGGGAACCCGTGAATGTAGAATTACCTATATGTAAACTGCCGTGAGAGAGTGGTCTCCGCCATGAGAGAGCGGAATAAGAATGAGAAAAAGAATTCATATAGCCCATGAGAATACATGCGGATGAGGGCTATACACGAGAGAGAGTACACTCACATGGCCAAGGGTTTTGAATCCATGCATCAACCAAGACCGATCGGCAAAGAATAAGAGAAAGAATAAGAATCAAAATGAATAAGAATCAGAAAAGAATAAGAAAATAATAGAAAGAAAAGAAAAGAGAGAAAATGCATTGCTTTGCATTATTGCATATGCATCTCATCCATGCATTTTATTATGATATCCCTCATGGGTGATGAGAATAGAGAGAAAGAAAGAGTAAAAAAAAAAGAGAAGAACAGTGAGAACTAGAAGCAGAGAAAGAACAAGAGAGATTGAATAAGAGAAAGTGACAAGAGTAAGGAAAGAATTGAAGCGTGATACACGGGGATATTGGAGTAGAGGATTTACTTACTGAGCATATTTGTGCTCACCCCGTTCTTTTCTATGTTTTTCCAGGACATAGGTGAGGACATGGTTGGATGGACGTCGGCAAGCGGGGAGACTTGGCTACATTGTCCACTATTTTGAGAGTCCTTTTGTACAAATGATATTGTACTATGTAAAGAATGTATATATTAGTAAAGAAAATTTTTGGGCCCAACTATTTTGATATGTTTACTTGTATGTTTAGTAATATATTGTATGAATATGATAGTAAAAAGAAGTCATTACAGTTACAACGTCTGACACCAGGTTTCCATGAAGAGAAAATTTCTGAAATAGGTCCCAAGCAGTTTCGAATCTCCCTAGTTTACATAATCCATCAATGAGGGAATTCAAACCTTCAAGGCTAACTGCAAACTTATTATTTACTAGTGTATTAAACATTTCCACCGCTTCCAAAACACATCCATTCTTGCAAAGTCCATCAATGAAAATGCTATATGTCCAGGAATCAGGAAAAGCACTGTTAAGTCGCATCTCACCAACTAAATTCCGTGCATCTTTTACCTTAGCTTTAAGAAAAAGACCAATTAACAAGGTGTTATACATAATCACATCAGGCCCAATTCCTTCAAAAATCATTTTTCGATAAAGATAAAGAGCTTTTTTTACTTCTTTACTCTTGCAATACCAATGGATTAAAGGATTGTAGCAAATAACATTAGGTCTATATCCCTTTCTAGTTAGAGAATCAAACAACTCCCTTGCACAACCAATTCTCTCTACCAAGCAATAACCATTCACTAAAATGTTGTAAGTATAAACGTCTGGACTAATTCCCAAACCCTTCATTTCCAAATACAATCCTCTCGCCTTCTCAATTAATCCAGCCTTACAAAGACCATCAATTATGGTACTATAAGTAACAACATCTGGCCTACAAAAAACACCAAATTCTTCATTCCCCTTAGCCATTTCTTTAAGCAACTTAATGGCAACACTTATCTTCCCTGTTTTACATAATCCATCGATCAATGTGTTGCAAGTGACCACAGTAGGCCTATAACCAACAGCACCCATTTTCGTCATCAATTCCATCGACTCCATAATCTTTTGCTCTACACACAGACCTTTAATCAAACAATTAAAAGTCACAGCATTGGCTAAAACCCTTCTTCAAAATCCCCCCCCCCCAAAAAAAAACCGCAAAACTTTCCAAAACCCTTTCAATATTACACAAGGAATTTATCAAAATGTTCAAAGACATCAAATCTGGAGACAACCCAGTTGAATCCAACAACTTATAAAGCAAAATCACTTCATAATAACGCTTCTTCTTAGCTACTGCAATAAACAAAGTCTTGAATGATGAAATTGGAGAAATGGGTTGTGAATTAATCATGTAATAAAAAAAAATACAATGCTTCATTCAGAGTAAAGTTACCTGATCGACAAATTTCTTTGACGAATTTAGCGAGTGAGGATTGTTCAAGGGGTTTTTCCAAAGAATATAGAACTTCATTTTTGGAGCTTGAAGTTGTGAGGTTGTGTAAGTGAGCTAACAAAGATGAAATATTAGCTCTCAGAGATGGGTTTTGAGAGATTGAAGATGAACGAATTGGGGATCTCAAAGCCATTTATGAAGAGTGTTTTTGTGGGTCGTTTTTCCTAGGTAAGGTCATTGCAAAATCCAAATGCAAAAAAGAGAAATGTTTTGACAAATTTCACAAACAACCTTTATGGTTTTCAAAATTGTAAACTTATGTAAGGTGTCGATCCTTCTTTTACAAACCACCTTCATGATTTGAAAATTGTTCACTTAGCACCCTGAAGGTTAAAAATGTAGATCCATGTTCAGGTGTGGATGGTTGCTTTTCAGTTTGAGGCGGTTTTCTACTAAATCCAAATTTATCCAATTGATCAAACACAATGCAACCCAAACCAACCAATTTATATAAGTGCTCAATTGGAATTCTTTTTAACTTTTTTTTTTTGGTAAAATTATAATATTTTTTTAATATTCATTAAAATGTCGTAAGTATAAAATGTTATAGTTTGAAAATATAATATCTAATTAAAGTTTCCATGTGAGATCTTCGAAAGTTTTGCAAGTGGAAGCGTGATATCCACAAAAGTATACCTTGGTAATTGTTTTGCATTTTATGATGTAGAAAATAATGATTATAATAACTTTAATCAATTACAGATCAATCTTTTATGTTCCACAATCCACACACTAAACATTAATGATTATAATATGAGAGCTACTCTAATTCATGATATGTTAAACTCTCCCTCTTACAATCCCTGATAATTTTTTTTTTTTTTTTTTTTTTAGAATTTAGAATTTAGATATTCTCTAACATTTGCTTCGCAAACCCTCTGTTAATTAATATTAGTGTTCTATCATTAATTTCGACAAGAAAGAGGTAAAATAATAAATGACTTTTATATTTTATAATTAATAACAGTTAACGAAATTATAAAGTTTGACAGAGGTAAAAAATTATTGACTATTACTAGTATCTTTGAAGATTTATGGAGAAGTTAGTGTAATTATCTTTTATGTAATTAATTTCACGTTTGATTCAATCTATATTATATAAAATAGTTATATTGACAACTTTGATGTTTAATATAATAAAAATAATCTAATTTATGAAATAATAAAAATCTCTGCTATTAAAGTAGGGCTAATATATTAGAATGGGGAAAATTTAATAAATATTTATTCATTTATAGATATATATTCTAGCGGACTAATAGTCTATTAATAATAAGGGAAATAAGAGAATTTATGTAATTATGGTAAATCTCATAGAAGTTGATTTGATGTCATTAGTTCTTTATGATACTATTGTAATGTTTCACATTAGCTTATCAACAACATATACTGTACATTAACATATATGATCAACACATATCAAGTGATTAGACAGTCACACATATACCCATTTCAATAAAGAATTCTGGTATGAATGTGCTTCCTATAACATAATCTCTGTTATGAAGATCATTGCTTGCAAAATTTGGAAACAATGGTATCTATCAAAACTAGATTTTGAAAACAGTTACAAGAATTGGATAACTAATAGTAGAACAATATAATTTACATAAGCATTTCAAATATTCTCTTATACAATACAACTCATTGCTGTACACAAAATTAGATGATAGTAATAAGTTACAAAAATCAATCAATTATGGAAACATCTTCTTGCAAGTGTAATAAAAGAGTGATTGTAAGAGATCTTCAAGTTTTTTCTCATCTGATACCTTTAGAAGGCGAGCAACTTTGTAGAATCTTGCACGATAGCTATATAGAGATTCTTCATTTACTTTTGGTTTCACCCCATTCTTATAAGGTTTTGCCCTTGTTAGAGCCCATGGAATTGCCCATATGGCCAACGAAGGCATGAACTTAGCGCTCTAAAACAATCAACGGTAGTCTAAGCTTCAAGAGTTAAAAAAGAATAACTACCCAGAAAATAGCAGTGAATCAGCGAATTATCATGAAGAAATAGTTCTAGAGCACATAATAATCAATGTAAATTATGCAGAATGTAAAGTTTCCAATTGTAATGGGCAGAAAATTATCCTAAAGGCAGTAACCTGATGGTGCAGGATGTAAAGGAATGATGCAAATGGGTATTTAGTCCCTATCTTCTATTTATCAAGAAATTGATAAAAAAACGTTGAAGGTGAAAATTTAGTAATTATCAATTTTGTTGGCTATTTTCTTATTTTTATTTTATTTATTAATAAATAAGACGACTTTTGTTATATAATTGCAAGATGTTGGATACCAAAGCATGTGGGATTTCGATATGTAATTAGTGTTCTTTGATATCTGTTTTTGCTGTAGCTTATACTGCAAACATTTTTGCTATCTATGCGGTGTTTGGTAGAGAAGTTTGGTTTTGGCAGAATTTTCCGGATTTACAGCTTGTAAGCTGCATTTTTTTCGTTGTTTCTACTGTGTGTGCTGTTGTGAAGCTCGGGCTTGCTCTATGTAGTTATAACTGGCTCAGTTCTGTACAGGTTTTCAGGGGAGGTTTTGGGACTGTTGCCGGCTTTTATGTTGTTGCAACTAGAAGCTGCACATTTGGTTTGGAATAATTGTAGTGCTTTATTTTTTTTTATTGAAATGCGGTATGGACCTGTTGAAGATACAGCAGCAGAAACGGCATTTTTTGTGCATGCAGGGACGATCTTGCGTTATGGTTTAGTTAGGAGGGGTTCTGGCTTGTTGCAGTCTACTTGAGATGCAGCCAGATTTTTTCTTTTCCTATCCAGTTTCCAGCAGAGTTGCAGTCTGTGCAGAGTTTGATGTTTTGCAAGGGAAGCCCAGGATTGTTAATGCAGTTCCATTTTGGAAATTTTGACCTAGTAGCAGTTGTAGCAGACTTAGAGCTTCTGGACATGCAGCACTTGTGTGTTTTTGTTTGTGTGACTGCAGGGATGTTTGGTATTGGCGATGAGGTTCTTGTTAAAGAAGCTAGTCTACTGCATTAGTTTATATATAATGTAAATATTTAATTTTAGTTAAAAGAGTTAGTTTAATGTTTATTATAACTTGAGTTAGTTATTAGCTTGAGTTAGTTGATGAAGTTAATTGTAATATAAAAAAAGTGGATAGTGTTACTCAATGCAAAACGAAATTTTCCCCCAAATTTCTCTCTTTACATTGGTTTTCACTCTCTTCAACATGGTATCAGAGCGACAATTCTTCTGCAATTTGATCTAAAAATTGATCAATCAAACTCCCAATTTCATTCCAATTAAGCTCGAAGCAGCTCAAAATCCTTTAGCTTCTTCAATTTTAGCTTGAATTCTTCGAAGTTTTCAGTTTCGTCGATAATGGCAAGTTCAACTGAAGAGTTTGTTATTCCTTCGAATGATTCCAATTCTACTCTCTATGTTCATCCCTAAGATACACTAGGTTTTTTTCTTGTTTCTGAATAGCTGGTAGGTACTGAAAATTATGGAATATCAAGTAGGGCAATGACTGTTTCTTTGTGTGCAAAGAAAAAATTGGGTTTTGTTAATGGAACATGCACAAAGTTGTTTGCTCACTCTAGGTTAGTACCATAGTGGGAAAGATACAATTCCTTAGTACTCACTTGGATTTTCAATTCGATGTCGAAGGAAATCTTCAATGGCATTGTCTACTCGACTGATGCTTCTCAAGTTTGGCAAGAATTGAAAGAGCAATATCATAAGGTCAATGGAACTAGAATTTTTGGTCTCCACTGAGAAATTATCAATCTCACGCAAGGAACAAACACAGTGGCTGTCTATTATAACAAGCTTAAGTCTCATTGGGATGAGTTAGATTCATTGGTAAGCTTACCTACTCCAGACACCATCTCTGCCAAGGCATTTCTCGAGCATCTTAATCAATAGAAGCTGTTACAATTTTTTATGGGCTTAAATGACTCATATTTTATGGTTAGGAGTCAAATTTTGTTAATGAATCCTTTATCAAGTGTTAAACTAGCATACTCAGTAGTAAATCATGATGAAAGTCATAAAATTCTAACTAGTATGAATGTTAATTCGGAGGTGTCAACTGCGCTCTATGCTCAGAATAATAGCAAGAGTTAGAATCAAGGCCAGAGGTATAAGGGTAAGAAGCCTTATGTTGAATGTGAGTACTGACATTTGCCTGGTCATAAATGGGAAAGTTGCTATAAATTGACTGGCTATCCTGTGGACTACCAGTTCACAAGAGGCAAGACATCTAAAGCAAAGGTTTCTGCTAATCAAGTGCAAACANTTACAAATAAATCCTAACCACCCGTCGATTCCGCCCCAGTTACCCAAACCTCAGTTCCGGCTTTAGTTTCTGGTTCCAGTTCCTAAAATGGTGGAACCGAAATCGAAATCATATAGTGTCGGTTCCACCAAATTAGAAACCAAAACTGACCCTTTAAATGCAGATTTTGGGTAGGAACCAAAACCGAAACCTTGGGTACCCACCGATTCGGATTCTACCTGGATTTTTTGCTCGCCTCCAATCAATTATATCATTTATAGAAGAGCTAATAACAATTACTTATAGGAACCAAAATCGAAACCTTGGGTACCCACCGTTTGGTTGGTTATTTAGAATAGCATTCTAGCATTTTTGGAAATTAAGATAAGATTCTGAGAAGTTTTTTGTACATTTATGAATAACATTTTCTGAAAATATTTAGATTATTTTTAATCCCATAGTTTGTTAATTTAACTAAACACCCCCAATAATAAAAGTTTATAAATTGACAAAAACACCCCATCCACGTATTGCCTGTAGCCAGCCACCACTGTCAGAATGTGGCTGGAATCTGTCGCAATGGCGCACGATCGACTAGATCTAGCCAGTCGTGCGTTGATATGGCCCTTTTCTGGTTAGATCCACTGTGGATCTGGTCAGAAAAGGCCAGATCTATAGTCACAGATTTGGTCGTCACAAGACATGGTCGTCATCAATGGCCAAGTTTGGCTGTCAACAGTCAGATCTTTGGTCATAGATCTGAAATTTTCTGACTAGATTTCCAACTAGATTTCCAGCTAAATCGATGCACGACTGGTCAGATCTAGTCGGTCGTGAGCAATTACGGTAGATTTCGGCCACCTTCTGACGGTGGTGACG